TATTAGTGCTATATCCTAAGAAATACTGGTTTACCTCAATACTGTAAAGAATTTCTTCTAGAATTGCTTCAATTTTTTTTTTTCTGATTCTACATGCTTGCCATTCATAGCGATCACATACATCATGGATTTTTTTTTTTTTTTTTTACCATAATATGTCATGGTTCTTTTCTCCTTTTCTCCTCTCATCTCCCTCAACCATTCTTCCTCTCCCCATTTACAAAAGATTCAGTTTCTAGTTTTCCCTTCAATTCTTTCTTTTTAAAAAACACTCCTTTTCCCTTTCTTCCTTCCCCTCCTGCTTGTCCTTGTTTCCTTTCTCACTCGAGGGATTTCTTCTTACTTCCCAACGTCCAACCTTCATTGTGCTCCTGGATTATACTTTAGGATTAATTTTTAACTTTAACTCAATGAGGAATTGTCATGTAACAACTGATCACACATACACTTCTATTATTGGATTGTTCTGTTCATTTGTTCCATATGTCTGTTTTTCTTTGTCAGGATTTTTTTAAATGTATTTAGGACAGGGTCTACTGGGTCTCACTATGTAGACCAAACTCATAGTGATTCTCTTGTTTTCAGCCTCCCAAGTGCTCCGATTACAGGCATGCACAACCATGCCCAGTCTCAATTGCATCTCAGCACACCCCAGGGGCTCTTTGTCAGGATGTTCGCTAGTGGATCTAGAGAAATTTTCAATATTGAATTCTTCTAGTGCAAAATCAAAAATTCTCTCATTTTCTTCCTTTGGAAAATGGCTTTAGCTGTTCTGTATCATTTGAATTTTAATACATATTTTAAATATAGCTTACAAATTTACATTGTTTTCAAAATGTTTAATTGAGAAAGAGATTAATTTGTGTCTGTATCTTAAGTTGCAGAATATTGGGATTTAAAAATATTGAGACTCCCAATCCATGAATATGGTATGAATCTTCATTCTTTTTCAATATTTATCTATTTTTATATATTTTAAAAAATGTATGTCTGAGTAATTGGTGCACTTGGGTTTTATCTCAAACTAAAGTACAGTTTTTATAAAATCTTACATGATACATGATATGTGATACCATTTATATTATTTCTAAAGTGAACAAGATCATTTATGTATTTCATGTAATGAATATATGGTGTTACATTTCCTTTAAAAGTACATGCAAGGAAACAATAGACACCAAATTTGGGATATTGCTCACCATTTAGAGTGAAAGACAATGGATATGATTTTAAAAAGTAGAAATAATTGTAGCTATATTTTAATCCCATTTTCTATAAAAATTTTATATCTATGTCTATATCTATCTGTCTATGTATGTATGTATGTATCTATCTATCTATCTATGTATCTATTTATCTGTCTATCTATCTATCTGCTTAGTCTTGGTCTTTGTAAATGTTAAAAACATTTACAGAGTAAGAGAAGGAAGACTGAATTTGAGAAGAGTCATTAGACCAGCACATCACAACACTGGAGAAATATCCATTCCTGCAATAGTGCTGCAGCTTTGGAGTTGGAGAGATGTTAACAAATCTTAGATGTACTTAAGAAAAGGAAGCAATAGAACAGGTTGTGGGAGGGAGGTGGCAATCAACTTGACAATTTTTTTCCAATCATTCAAAATGGGTGCATTTAATACTATCAGTTCTCCGGTGGTGACATGAATCTTCATTTGAAAGCAAAATTTGAAAATGGCAATATGACCATCAGCCCCAGTGCCCCCAATTAAGTCCAAGACAGTGTCTATTTCATTTCTGAATCAATTGGCTGACTATAATTAAGGAAAAAATCACACCAATGCTGATGGGAGTGAGTTAAATTCATAATCTTACCGATATTTAGTCTACTCTCAGGGTTTAATAATTCACCAGTGCATTTGTTCTGTCCATAACTCTAAGACACTGAACATGATCCGTACCTGGGTCCTCATCACGTTTCTTGGCCTTTGGCTGTTCTATTTCTCTCAGAAACTTACTTAAATCAAGTCTTTTCAATAAATCCTTTACCCTTATCTTACCTTTACTTTAGTGAAATACATAAACTGTAACTTTGTGGTCTGCACTTCCCCAACAAAAGTTCATCCATCAACATTGGCAAACCTTTCAACAATTCCCCCAGTTGGCTCTCCGTATAGGCTACTCCTCTGCCTGTACAAACTAGTCCCTCTTACCATGTGCTTGATTCTGAGTCTTTCTTTCATGCTTGGTCCCGAGGAATTATCTTGACCCCTCTATTTCAATGTATCTTTCTGATGATTCTACAAATAAACCTAAAACCATTTCAATTGTGACATTTCTCAAAATTAGTGCCTTATCTGGATTTTATCCATACTGTTTTTCTTCTTCCTGAAGACTTCCTGAAGAGCAGCCTCTCTATGTGTGTCTCTTCTATCACCTCTTGTTTTACCTTAGACAATTTCAAATCATTTTCTCTCTCAAATACTCTATTAAATTTATTTAATGAAGCAACTCAATGAATTAATTGCCATATTTAATGACAAGGAACTTCTGGTCTTTATCATATCCCACACTAATCTTAAATGGCATTATTGATGTTCCTTCTCGAACTCCTCTGACCTTATTCTGTCTTACTTCCCTAGTTGGTAGACTCTTGCTTTTCTAATGGCCTTGAAGATTATTCTTACATTTTCTTTCATTTGATTTAATTATTGGCTCATCATTTTTCCACTCCATATATTCTTCCTGGACATTTTAATGTGGGCTACCTCATAGTGATATGGTACTGACTAAACGTCTAGATCTTTGAATTATCCTCCATGCTTCATATATATATATATTTTACAAAAAAAACCCTGCCTGTTGGAATCTATATTCACTATTTCATAAAAACATGAAAAACACCTTTCCCAGACTGTGCTAATCACATCATGCCCATTTCCAGGTTCATAAATTTTCTCTTAGAGTTTCTACTACTAAAAGCCTAGATGAGAAGATGAGAGACAGATGCTGGACTCTGCCCTTAGAGTTAGCACTAATGCATAATCAGTTGCTATGCATTAACCAGTTTTACCTTCTCACCCTGTCATGATTCTTCCTCTTCTTCCTTCTAATACTGATATTATCTAATTTCTCCATTCATATCTAATCTAATTGCCATAATCTATCAATATAACCTTCCTCTTTTCTTTTCAAAAGCTGTTGAACATATGGCCATTAATTACTAATATAGTAATTATTTTCCCCAAAAGCTTTTACACAGTTTCTGGTTCACAATAGAGGAGGCTTATGGTCATAGAATGGTGCTTCATACTTTCATTGAAATACTTCTGTCTGTTTTTATTATTTCCATGTCCTGCCTTTGAGCTTAGGGTTTAACAAAAATGAGAAGCTTCCAGAGTTTCATGAAGTGCTCCACATTGACATACTTGTCTATGAATGTGACTATTCCTTTTATTTCCTTTTTATTTCTGCATCTATTATCATTCTTTCATTTTTTTAACCTGACCAACTTTTACTCATCTCGGAGAGCTTCTGATTTTGTAGACACAGTGTCCTCATTAAGATACAGCTTACATTTCTTTTTCTTCTCCCAACTGGCTTCCCATGTCGTCTCCCATGATCTGTTGCTTCCCATCACTGCAGTCATTATAATCCATACCTAGTACTTCTGCTTATCTCTTCACATATATGTCTTTTTCAAACAGTGTAAACTTTATGAGAGTAGAGATAAGACAAGATTCACTTTAAAAAAATCCCGAGTACCTAATATAAGACTGAAATTGAAAGATGACTTTTGTGCTAAGCAAGATTCCATACTCTCATCTACCTACCTTTTATAATCTCCCGTTGTGTGGTGGCTATGACCATGGATATGACTGGTTACCACTCCCATTACTACGTCCTAAGTCAACTGTGTTGTAAGTGACACCAAGGGAGATTTTCCTGGCTTGGCCTTACCTAGTCATGAAAGTACTCAAAAGGAACTGAGGCTTCTTAAAGTCAGAAATTTTCCACTGTCGTTGAAGAGAAAACCCCCATGAGTTCTAGAGATGCAAAGAGATTGATTCTGCTGACAACTATGAGAGGGTACCAGGTGCCCAATGATACTGACCCTTAGATGACATCCGAATTGCAGTCTTGAGGACACAGACAGGCATCTGTACTTTTGAACCACAATCATCTGAAATAATAAATTTGTATGATTTAAAGTGGTTAAGTTTGTGATCATTTGTTAAATAGCAGCACACAAAGTAGCACACTCTTTAATATTCTAAGGTGAAAAATAACCCATGTTTACTAAGTTAGCCAAGTGGGTTCTAGTCAGAAGAAAGCTCCCAAGTTACTGGATTGCCAGAGGTGGCCGTGGCAACTGTGACAGGTATGGGAGAGCTGCAGGTGAATGACCAACAGCAACAGCAAAATGGAATCATGATTGATCTCTACTTGCAGCAATAACTGAGTTGAGAAAGGCAATAGAAAAATAAGAGTAACTAAGAGTAAGGAAATAGGAAAAAAAGTGTTGGAAACAATTGAAGTGTAGCAGTTCAATGAAGTGAATAAAGTAAGCATCTTTATTCCTTTCGTTTACATTCTGATCACACTAGGGATGGCATGAACTTGGAAAAGACCCATGTTAATTAATGATGCTTTTACTAAAAATATTAAAAGAGTTTTTAAAAGAACAAGACATGCACAATTAGTTTGTGACATAGAGAATGAAGTCAGAAAAGGTCTGGAGTTTGGGGTGTCGCCAGGCAACTAAGACGTGCTAGAATCTTAAGAAGTTGGTAGGAACATGTTAAATTTAATTCCCTTTGTGAAGTTTTGTTGCAAAGATACATGGGGAAGTAGGTTCAGATAATAGAATAATTTATATACCTTCAACAGAGCTTCAGGGAGAAATAAGAGACTTTCCAGATAAAACAGTCCTCTGTTATTGTTGTTACCCCGACTGGGATCTTTCCTTCTCTGTTCTTTCCATCTCTGCTTTTGGAAAATTTACTTAGTTATGGAGGTTGATTTGCCTCTTAGTCAGCCCCAAAGGACTGAAGTGAACTGCAGACCCTAAGATGATTCACTCCTGCTGGAGCTTGGAATATGCGGGCTATTGGATGAAACTGATGTGGGATACAGGAGGTCAAGCTTCCTGAGAGGATTTGGAGATGTTTCTTTCCACTGAAGACAGGAAAGACAGAAGAAATGATCAATCTGCTTAGAGGTAATGGGCTTCATATTATGTGCAAGTTTTTTGCTTATTGCTTGAGAATAGTGACTCAGATAAGACACGGCTCCCTTGGAGTGGGCTCAGAGCTCTAAAATGTAGCCCCTAAACCACAGGTGCTTCTGCACTTTCAGCATAAAGAATTTCACTTTTTATTCAATCCACTTTAGGACAGAACATTTTTGTGGGCTGCACCAAGCCAGCATCTAAGCTGATATGACCCTGAGTATTTATTTGTCCTCTAAACAACTTGACCATTTTTGTTCCTAGATAGGCTTCATAATGAAATGTCCCCAAAGAGCCAAGATTTATTTCCTAATTACTATACAATATAAAGACATATTTTATAGGTATAAATTTGTAGTAAGTAGGATTCATCATAGGCCCTTGCTTCCTTGATATCAACTTTGACATCAGAATTGATTCCAGGTGAAGCCAGAGACATAGAATCTTGTTGTACAGTCATGGTAACTTCTAAAAAGGATAAGCACACAGAATATGCAAAATAGTTAGGATAGATATACAGCTGCATTCTCATAATGGATAGAGATTGATTCTAATAGTGTTTGTGGATAGGATATCATGTCTGCATCTTGTACAATACATAACCGCTAAGACAACAATAGGCAATATATTAATTATTGAAACTGTGCAAGTAATCAGTTTTGAAACTGTCTCATTGCTATTGGTTTCTCAATAAAACTATTCTTTAAGAAAAGACACTTGTTTTGGATACTTTGTTTGTGATATTGAGTTTTTGATAGAATAAATGTCCTAATTCCTCATTTGTATGATTTGAAGGCCAATCTATTGGACTTTTTATGCTGAACATTCCTTTCACTGTATTCTCAGAGTAGGCATGACACTTTCCTCTGGCCCTCTCTCACCCTGTAGACCATAATTCCTTTCTGCCTTCAATAAATATGTACAACCTCAAAAAGCATATATATATATATATATATGATAAGCACATAGCTGTTTGGCAAAGAGTTTGACATTGGGAGATAATAGACAGGGATGCCATGGCTTATACTGAAAAGATTCTTTGCAAGGGAACTCAAGAAATGTAAAGATAAAGTTTTCTCACTCAATTGTTTTGCTCTAGCTTGGCCTCAAGTAAGAAATCTGAGAATAAGACGAAAGAAATACAATATCACATCATTGAAGCTATTACAATAGTCTTTAATGAAAAGAGCAATCTCTTTAGTTAAGATAGTGTTTTTCCTGATTACAGTAATGAATCCCTGAATCAGCTAATAATCTAAAAATCTGTAACGACATAGCAGAAGTGCAGAGACAGATGAGCTACCATAGTTGTTTCTGCCATTCTTTGAATGCAAATGGGGAAAAACAATGCCAATGTATAATAAAATGTCAAGTCTATATTATTACTTTAGAATATTTTCCCTGAGTTTAATTACAAATAAGGTTAAATTGCTGAGCAAATTTTAAAACAATTCCACTAAAAATTTATGCCAGATTTATTTCTGTATTATCTTCAAAATTGTTCTAAGATTTTTATTTTCCTCTACAACTTTCAGGGCATGAACTCCAAATGAAGCCAGAGTTTCATGAAATTATAACAATAGAATAAGATATGAGTTCATTCTCCTGGATTACACAACATGGAAGAGAATTTAGAATAATGTGATCATCTTTGCGGCAGAAGGAAGTGTTCTGGAGGTTGAGATATCTGTCTTTCTCTTGTTTCTGCTCCTTCCACTTCCAGATTTCAGTGTGGATATACCTGGAAGGACAAAAAAAATTCATTTTCTGAAAGATAAAAAATAAAACACTGTAAACTTGATCTGATAAACGATTCTTCGAAATGTAGAAGGTGTTTCATATAATAGCATAGCTCTTTGGTAAGTGTGTGTTAAAAGAAGAAACATTTTCGACAAGAAAGTTTTATTCAGTGTGCTGTTTCCCTGCTCCCCTGACAGAGTAAGTGACCACCTGAATGCTAAGGAGCACCAATTTGGGCTGATACTCTCCGACAGCTGTATTTGAAAGAAACATATTGTGTAAACCCACGCATGTTAGTGAGAGATGAGAAACAATGACGCTCAGAGCAATCTGATGGGGTTCTCTAATACGCTATGCTGTTTGTGTCTCTACTTTGATTATCCTTATGTCCCAATTATTAGCAGCCATTAGTGCCCTCCGGATAAAGCAAAGCAAAGAAAAACAAAACAAAACAAAGATCTGTCAGTCTGCGACTGACAGAGAGGTCTTTGAGGTTACAGACGAATTTATTGGTTCTCTGTTTCTAAATCTGTCAAAAAGACCTGAACAACTTCCTGAGAGAAAGAGGTTGAGAAACGAGCACCTGGAAGCATTTCATAGGTAGGCAGGCATGATACTTTTGGAGTTAATTTCACCGTGAATTATATTGAGCTCTCGGGCTGAGAAAGAAACTCCTCTTGTGAAAGAAAGGGAAATGCCACATTTCCAGAAGAGGTTGTAAGATGCTCTGTCAGATTCTGTTTGGGAATGGTATCAGCAAAGCTAGAAACTAAGCTTCTTTTGGGCCTTGTTGAATAATTTGAATTCTGTCTTGATTCTTACTTTCTGTTTTAATTTTCATACTTAAAGTTTTTAAAATTTAAAGAAACAATAATTTATTCCTCCTTATTGGATGAGATTTGGTCTCCTTTCACTCCCAAAATTAGTCTTATGTGATTCTCCTTAATGCAAAAAGGTGCAGGGCTCACAATTTTTAATTGAAACAAACGCCCTTACGTGATCATATACAGAAAATACTGAATAAAAAGTGCTAGAAGTGTTACTCTATTGTTTATTACCCTTTGTTTTCGGTAGCAGGAATTGAATTTCTATTACGTGACAATCAGGATACAGATATCATGACTAAAGAGTAACGGAGCCAAGTGTGGCCTCGTTATGTGCATGTGGTACTTAGGGCGTTTTGAGGAGAACCATTGAGCGGAGACTAAACAGGCAAGCTTGCTGCTCTTTTGAGTGGTATTAAGATGTACCTATTTCTAGTGAAATTAATCAGGTAATTTTTTTAAAGGCTATATATATATATATATATATATATATATATATTTTTTTTTTTTTTGTACCAGGATCGAAATAGGACCTTGCACTTGCCAAGCTTAAAGTTCTTAAAATTGTAGAGTCAACTACTTGATACTGGGTATAAACAGTCAAGTGAAGCAGGTGTGCCTCCTCATCATTTTCACATCTATGATTTAATACATAACAGTTTCCTTGAACATGCTTGAAATATAAAATATATCAGTTACCGTGCTGCCCCTTGACTCTCTGGCCTTCTTGTCTCTTTAAGGTATTTCTGAGAAGGGTCTGTTTGGCATATAAAGATTCACAGTAAGAATGTGGCAGTTAGTCTCGTGATGCTAATTTATAATAGTATTTTAATATCACTGGTGACTTAGGGGTTATCCTGGTTCCAGTTACTAGCTGAAGCTAAAATTTCCTCTTTTATAGAAAAGCACTCGGTAGACTTCTCTTGTGTGTCTCACGATTGCTGTTCTTCTGGACAGTTTCCATAAAGTCACGTAACAAGTTACCACAGAGAAAATTAGTTGACTCTTCTTGGTCCTGAATCCCTCATGAAACTTCTAAAATAGAATCTGGAAAGAAAACTGATAGAAAAAACGAACTGGATATACTTCCAAGGAAGGTACTAGAAAGTGACAGGGGTGGATGTGACATTTTAGCACATGTCAAGCTTTGTATCAGTTTGCAGAATATGGCATAAGCTCTGTGCGTTTTTGTGTCTTCAAATAGAAGATAATACATGGATGACAACTGCCAATGTTACTGCATCTTCATATTTAAAATTTTCTAATTTACATTTTCTCTCCCTGTTTAATTTAAACAATATTCTGAGAATATAATTTCGAAATCCACCCCCAAATAGGAAAGAATATTATGTATCTAGAATGATTGACATAGATTGCAATATTACTGAGACAGAAGAACACTGCCTGGTCCAAGTCAATTTTAAAGTTAATTTTAAAAGTATATTAATTTTCCTACAAAGGGATAAGAAATTTCAAATCAGTAATGTGGGTTCATTATCGCCATTATTATTATAGGAATAAAGAAGTTGGAGAAGATGACAATTTAGGTCATTTCTAGTGGTAATAGCTTTCAGTGGTTATAACTTTATCATACCACTATAAATTAAATGAAATAATGTATGTAAAAGTGATGTGAAAATCATCATCTTTTATATGGAAGTATATTGCAGGCTTTGTGGTGGCCACATCTTTTTCAGTTGATCATTTCATTCAAACAAATTGTCAGTTCATCCAATTCAAAGAGTTTTACTTCTTTAATGTAAAATGATTGAATGCACTATGTGTTGACTGTAAGGCAGTTGCTGGGACATGAAGTTTTGGAGCCAAACAGAGTCTTGTGGGCCAGAGTGTGGAGGAGAAAAACACCATTATTGTTGGCTGATTAGATAGATCTGACCATTACAGATTTATTGGAAATGATTGTCAAAGACTGGGTGGTTCTAAAGGACAGCTTGTCCCTATTGACTGGAATAAAAAGAGAGGCACGAAGGATGCCATTTCAGAATGGGGAATGCATTGGTTATGTTTACTGTCACTGAGACCCAAATTCCCAAAAGCCACCAGATAAAGAAGGAAAGGTTTAACTTAGCTCATGGTTTCAGGAATTCCCTTCCCTGGTCAATAGGCTCCAAGGCAGAAGCATCAGAATAAAAGGACGTGGGAAATAAAGCCACACAGGACATAGTAGCAGGAGAGCAGGGCAGGGGAGCCGTGCCAGAGAGCAATGGGTTTGTGATCCTATAAGGTAGTCGGTATGCTCTCCTATTCTATTAGGTTTTCTTAATTTGTCAAAATTTGCATATCAGAATTAATAGTCTCAGGGAGCATGTTGGCCCATGGTATTTTTGGCAGTTGTCTGGATATTTAAGCATAGCACTCAGAGTGTGATTTAGCTAAAGAAATCATTGTTATATTTTTCTTCAATAGCCATCAGCCAAGAGGATAAAGAGCTAGCATGTATTAGCATCTGTTTTGCATCAGATATCTATTTATAGCTTCCATTATTGATCAACTCATTCAACAAATATGTAGCTGTGATATGCTGTTGGAGATATAACCATGTCTTAGATAGGTGACATTTCCTTTTGGGGGCTTACAATGAAGTAGAGAAGTCATTTAGAGGAAAAAAATGACTATCAAGATAATTTTCAGGCTTATAAGTGTTATGGAGAGGTAATAGATTGGGATGTTATCTGTATCCACTTTCCTTTGGCTGGGATGTCATACCTGACACCCAAAGTTTAGATGAGAAATCATTTAATAGTATATGGTTTCAGGAGAGCTCATCCATGTGGCTTGAAGACAGAGGCATCTGGTGTGGCAGAGAAATTGAAGTTCATGGTAACTGGGAATAAAAGTTGAGAAAAAACCTTCAGAGGAAGCTGCCCACCACCCTATAGAGCATGCAAGGTCACACCTGTGTGTCTCACCCGAACACACCCAGAACTGTGCTTCACTAAGTTCCTAGGGATCTCTCAAACCAGGAAAGTTGACTTGAGCTAACTGTAACAGGTATCTTAGCCTGGGAGTCATCAGGATTTAACTTTGAGGCAGATCTGAAGGAAAAAGAGTCACACTGTGAAAGGGAGGTATATAAGGGAGAACATGAAGCAGCACCCACCTTTATCAAATTTTACTAAGAGCTACAAAAACCATGGCAAAAAATAGCATGTAATTTAGTAAAACAGAGATCATGGCTGAGAAACAGGACTGAACCTGAAGTTGTTGAAAATAAAGATATAGAAGAAGAGACAGTTTATAGAAAACACTTTCAATTATAGTACTATTAAATAAAGCTGAGGTATGGTAATAGATGAAGAGAATTTGGTTCCTAAGAGGTAAAATTTCAAAGTATGTATAATGCTTGTCATTGTCTTAGAGTAATAATAATACAGGTGATGATAATGATGAAAAAGTAACTATCCTGGCTTATAATATGCCAGGTAGTTTTCTAAAGGTTTTACCTGAATTATTCAACTTTATTATTCCCCTCTTCCTTTCAGAGAATGTATTATCATGGATTCTGTTTTATAGAGAGAATGGAGATACAGAGACCAATTCATTTCCAAGGTGATACTCATAGTCAATGGTAGGGTCACAGTTTGAATCTAAGCAGTTTAAATGTAGGATATAAATTCATAACCTATTCTCCATATACTGACCCAGAAGGACAAAGAGAAGGAAGTGGCTGAAGTCTAATGCGTTACGAAATAAGTTGCTTCTAACAAGTGACTCACCACTCACAAGTGAACCTTGATTGATTGATTGATTGATTGATTGATTGATTGATTTGGTTGTTGCAGGGTCTCACTATGCAGTTTGCACTCATTGTGGGTCACCTGCTTTTGGCCTCCTCAGTGCTGGGATTATGGGAGTGCGCCACTACACCTGGATTCTGGCCAGCTCAGCCTTTCCTAGGGGCAGGGCTGACGCAGCATGTGGTTCCAGGGGTCAAACCACATTCCCTGCGATTGCCTAAGCTTGCCTAAGCAGGCACTTTAGTCTGCTGAGCTGTCTCGCCAGTCTGCAAATCTCGCTTTAAAACCCTACTTTTATAGATCATTGCAAAATCAACTAGCCCACCTCTCTCCAAGCTGATCTAACACTGTGTGTTTGGGGATGAGGAAAATGGGAAGTGAGAAAAGAATTTAACACATAAAAATTTCTAACCCTAGTGTTCATACCTGGCCATATTTCAGGAAGCCTGCATGGTCTTCTGAATTGAAAGCATTTTATTTTAGTTAAAGTTTGTAATGAAGTACCAATATTCTGGAACATTCGTTTTTATTTTAAAAAATGGTGAGTTAACAATTCTCAAAGGATTTTTGAGAGCTAAACTATCTCCTGTAGATATTTTTTCAGGCTGCAAACCATATGCTTTGGTAAGATGCTGTGGGGGTGATTTTTGCTATGATTCAGTCGAATATTCTTGGGTGCTGTTATACACTACCCATTCCTGTATTTTACAGCTCCTCCTGTCTCCTCTTCCTGAAAAGAAGGTCATAGGGGATGACAGGTACATAATAAACTGACTCGGTGGCTTTGCATTAATTTAGTGGAATTCATCCAAGAGGAGGGATAAGTAGAAGAGAAAGAGTTAGAAGAAAATAGCACACTCTCTTGGTTTTCTACCTCCAGGATAGTTTTCCAATGCCTCTGATCTCCTATAAAACCCGGAGACCATCAGGTACCATTTCTCACGAGGGTAGCCGTATTCTCCTCTCACCGCCTGAGCACAAGGGCAGTAACAGTTTTCTGTTTAAGTGTTGTTATTCCTGACTGGATTTTGGTCCCTTTTCCAAACACATTTTGACTATGTAAGTCTGAAATTTTGTCCCTGCTGTTGTTAATTTGGATGCCTCCTTTTATTTTACTTTCTTACAGTGCTTTCTAATGTTTTGCTAGTGTTTTGCCAATCATCCTGTGCAGAAGCATCTTGGCATTTTAAGTACTGGCATCATTAAGGAAAAATTAAAAATTGGTGGTTCTGTCCAATAATTCCAGCACTTTGGATAGCTGAGGCAGGAGTAATTCAAGTTTCAGCACAGCTTGGACAACTTAACAGCTTAGCAAGACTCAACGTCAATACTGTAGAAACAACAGCAACAACAATAAATAATAATAATGATAATAACAATAATAAAAGGGTTAGGGATATGCAGTTCAGTGTGAAAACCCTGAATTTTATCCCCGGTACAACAAAACAAATAAAAAATTA